TTCAATTGTGTGGGTGGTGCATATTAGTGTAGAAAGGCTAACTCATCCTCAAAAGGTTAAGTGCACCAGTGTTGCACGGTCGAAGCGCGGGGCTTCATTAAGTCGAGACAGTAAGTTTCCATGTCTGAAATATAACCTAATAAGGAAAACACATGACGGTGTCGTTCTTCCTCTTCATCTGTTTAGTTCGCCTGGAATATGAATGAATGTTTAATGAAGAATCATTTAAGAAAATAAAATACAAGAAAAACAATTAGAATTACAAAAAAAAGAAAAAGAAAAACTAAACTAAATTAAACGTACAATGCGCATACTCATATCTTTAATGAGGATTTAAGGCTGGTGGTTTGACAGCAAAAGCGAACCGTCAATGGTGCAAATGTACATTCACATGAGTACAAAATGATAACATAAATTACATTGACATAATTTTTAATATAATTATATTAAGTTAGTAACATAAAACAACAACAATTTGAATACAATTACTTTAATTTTTGTAAATTAATTATATGGAAAAAAAAGTATGTACTTACATGTAATTTAAACTTAATTATATGTATTATCATTTTTTGTAAATTATAAAAAAAATATATCATTACTCTAGATAAAAATAAAATAAGCGTCAATTAAAAAACTCTTCAATATTATCTCAAAACCATTACTATAAAATTATAAAAATTAAAAGAGGGGGGAAAAAAAGACAGGAACCCTAAAACGAGTTAAAAATGCATGTTTTGGGGCCCTCGATTTGCATGGAAAGAGGTTTCAATCCGTAAATTGTTGCAGCAAATGCATATAGGGATGAATGAACATCGTTTTGGATCAAATTTGCATAAATCGGAGCCAAAAACAGTCACAAAATCAATAAAATGGCAGATTTTACCAAAAAGAAAAAAAATTCTGCAGCAACTAGCAAAAAAACATTTTAAGAAAAAAATTACAACAATAAATATTCAGATCCGAGTTTCAAATAGTAGATGAACCATTTTAAATAAATAATAATAATAATAATAATAATAAATTTCACAATAAATGCATTATTTCACAAGTATTTCATCTTTGGCAGAAAAAACAAAAATCGTCAGAACCCCAAATATGAACATTTTTAAGCTAGATCCACCATATCGCGTTGTTTTTTATCACCTACCAACAACAAAATCTAGTACTAGGGTCACCAAAGACCATTTTAAAAAATATTTCAACCACAAAACCATGAAGCAATGGAAGAGAAATTCGATCTTTGGCAGACTTCTTAGAGAAACCAACAAAAAACATTGATTTTCATCAAAAAATTCTTAGAAAAGAAAATACAAAATTATAAATTAATGTACCTGATTCATATGAAAATGGAACCTCTATAGATCAATAAACCCATTTCAATTTGAATAAATACGACTCCAAACATGATCTGTGAGTCTTTCTTTGTAGATCTCGAGCTTTTGGACCCCAAAATTTTTTGGGCTAAATAGAAAATGAAATCTAGTACCAGAGTCTCCAAAGACCATTCTAAAAAAATTACAACAAAAATTGTTAAGTAATCGCAGTGAAATGCGATTTGTGGCATACGGCTCTAATAAAGTAGGAAAAAAACATTGATTTTTCACCGAAAATTTTAAGAAAAATGGAAAACCGCTATCTCTGTTGATTTTGTGATCTTCAAACATTGTTTTTTTTTTATAGATGAAAAGGCATTATTGGGATCAATTATTGACCCCAACATTACTGCAAAATGGAGATTGGAATAGCAAAAAAGAGAATGACGGGTTGCAAAAACAAAAGTTCTCGGCGAATCGGCAATTCTACTGTAGTGAATCGCCGATTCTCAACAGTAGAATCGGCGACCTAGGGGTCGGGTGAATCCCGATAAATGTAGAGATCTGGTTTGTCCAATGTGAAATCCGATCCGGATCACCAATTTTTAATCCTTGTTCAAAATAAATTTGGAATTTCAAGATTCGTAACACTTATATCTCACCATCAATTGGATAGTCCATGTTCAATCTTAGGACTTTTTTTTTTGGGCAAGCTTTCTATACTTCTCGTACATCATAGAAGTTCTATCCTCCCTCTTATCCAACCGTTTATTCTGAATGGAGGGCTAAGATTGCCCTAATCACAATGTCATGTCTCTACACTATTTTATTTTTAATTTATTTTCTATAAACTATTTTGATACCAAAAATTGGACTTTCATTCCTCTATTAAACTCGCACTAGCGAAAAATATAAGCAAAAATATTTTCAATAAAATAAAATGACCAAAATACCCTAAAAAGGGTATTTTGGTCATTATAGTTTATCAAAAAATTATTTTTAATATTTTTTATAGGTGCGCCCCAATGAGAAGATGGAATGTACCAAATTTCATATTCATATAATTTGTATAAAAATAAACAAAAATAAAATGCTTTGAGACGTCGGACCTAAGATCAAACGGTGAGTGGCTCTTGATCAAAATTGGATGGCTGGACGGTAGGAGAGGATAGAACTTTTATGCTGTAGAGGAAATATAAAAACCTCTCTCTTTTTTACTTTCTTTTTTTTTTCAAGCACATGAAAAGTGCTATTTGGAAATGTTAAATAGCATACACCTCCAAATTTTAGGGCCAACAATTATTCCTAGATTTATATTCCTCGAGGGAGTACAAAGACAATATGCTCCCCGGGAGCACAGAATCTTTTAGCAACTCTAAAATTCTAATAAAAAAAATTTTTAAAAATATAAAAAAGGAGAAGAAGAAGAAAAAAAAAGAAAAAAGAAAGAAATGAGAGAAAACTTCAATATCGTCAAAACTGAGGCAGGAAGGAACCTTCTCCTATGACCAAGTTTTGTAGCGCGCCAAGACTGAAGGCGTCGCTATACCGGTTTTAGTTACTCATTTGCAAAAACATGAACCACCAAATTTTGCGTCAGGTGCGATTTGTATAGAGCCGAGGCTCTAAATAATCAAGGTAAAGCACACTTTCAAATAGTGTTAAGAAATACGGTTTCAATACTAGAAATTTTTGTGACAGCTTTAAAATATATTTTTATCTTTAATTATAAAATTTTAAGCCTAAAAAATAGTGTAGATCAAACAAAGCTACGAAAACTTGAAAACTTTGAAAATTGACTGTCCAAAAATGTGTTACAAGATACACTATTTCCAAAACTTGAAATCTATTTTTTTCTTATGTTCATGTATCTTGATGTGGAGATGATAAAAAAAGTGTAGATCAAACAGAGCTACGAAAACTTGAAAACCTTGAAAATTGACTATCCAAAATTGTGTTACAAGGTACACTATTTCTAAAATTTGAAATCTATTTTTCTTCTTACGTCCATGTATCTTGAAATCTATTTTTTTGTTATGTCCATGCATCTTGAAATCTATTTTTTTCTTATGTCTATGTATCTTGATGTGGAGATATCAATTTGAGCATCAAAACAACTTTTTTGTTTCTATCAAAACAACATTTTCTTTGTGAATTTTTTGAGGTGGGCTCTTATTTGATTGTTTAGAGCCTTGGCTCTAATTTGGTCTTATTTTCCGATATAATTTTACGAGCAATCAGCATACGAACACAAAATAATTAAATAAAATATAAAAGAGAAAGGTTTCTCAACTTCCACTACAGCATAGAAGATATGTACTTTCCCTCATCCAACCGTCCAATTTAGATCAAGTAAATCATTGGCCGTTTGATCTAGATCTAATGCCTCATAGTATTTTACTTTTAGTTTTTCGTACAAATTGTATGAATATGAAATTTGATACGTGACATCTTCTCAATAGGTTGCACCTAAAGAAATATTTAAAAAAAAATTCAATAAAATATATTGGTCAAATGCCTTTTGAAACTTTTAAGGGTATTTTGATCATTTTATTTTATTGGACCTATTTTTTTTATATTTTTTAAAAATGCAAGTTTAAGAGAGGAGTGGACTCCCAAATTTTGGTGTCAAAATATTTTGTAGAAAATCAATTAAAAATAAAATAGTGTAGAGATGTGACATTATGATTGGGATCATCTCAGTCATCCATTCATAATAAACGTTTGTATAGAGGGCAAGTATATAAGTTTTATGTAGTACGAGAAATATAAAAAGCTTGCCGGATACAAAATAGGTCACTTTTGGTCCAAATTTACTTAAAGGAATGGCCAAAAGGTTGTTTTTTTCTTGTTTAAAAACTATTGTTTTGTTTGAGGATACCAACCTCATACTGCTTTTTAATTTATTTTTTAACTTTCTCGATAAATAAAGTCGGTCCGCATTTTGCATCATCAGACCGCATTGAATGACTCTAGAAATTGGTCCAAAGATGCACAGCGCGGATTGCCTTGAACGACTCTAAAAATCGGTCCGAGGATGTGCAGTTCAAACCGCCTTCCATGCCTTTGTTTTGGTGGTGTTAGGGCGCTCGGAAGTCGGAACCCTTAGACCGTATCGAACCCTTCGATACCTTCAAATAAAAGAACATCGACAAAGCTCAATTCTTTTATTAAGCTTATCTAGTTTCTTAGATAACTTCTTACGACATTAAGTCGTTTCTAACCAGGGTTCAGTGGTTTATGGGCAGTCGGAGGTTGACATCTTCAAACCGCATTGAACATGATTCCACAGCCCTACTTTGGAAAAAAAAAAATTTAAATTAAAAACAAAAGTAACAAGTGGTTCGACCGATGGGTAACTTGCAAATTAAAAAAAAAAAAAAAAACAACCTTTTAACCAACGATTTGTGTAATTTTTACCCACCCTTCCATGATTTTTACTCAAAAGTGAGTCATTTTGTATATTAGGTATTTTATTTTATGTCCGTACGTGAAGTGCTCTAATTTTATTAGTTTCCCAATTAAAACTCGAAGAAGAAAGAAGGGACAAAGGAGAACCAAGACATTCACGGTGAAACCCCAGGCAAGGTGAAGGTCAAGGTCAAGGCCAAGGCCCACGCCCACGCCCACGCCCACGCCCACGCACGGTTACAGTTGCACGTGGTGCCCGGTTCCCCTCTAAGAACAAAAAAAAAAGAAAAGAAATGAAATGACAGCCCCTCTCCCTCCCTCTAAAGCCGTTGTTCCCCTCTCTAAGCCAAGCCGTAGACATGGCCACCCACCAGCTGTCTCGTAGCTGTCTCTCTTCCCCTCCCCATGTGATCCCCCCATATCCATTATCAACACCCCCCTCACTCCCCTAACAAGCCACTGTTCTCATGGCGAACCGCCCGTCCGATGCCCCGCCCGCATCCCACAACCTTCTCGCGAACCACCGCGCTCCCTCGGCCCCTGCATTCACTGGCACGCAGGTGCGTGCTCAGCAGCAGCCGTTGTGGGTCGATGAATTCCTTGAATTCTCGTCGGCAAAGCGCAGCTCCCACAGGCGCGTGGTTAGCGACTCGATGACGGCGTTTACGCCATCGGAAGAGTGCAGCCATGCTGGGTTTGATGGGATCGATGATGAGCAGCTCATGGCCATGTTTGGGGGCCAGCAGCTGCAGGCGGAAGAGAGGTCATCCAACGCGTCGACAACGCCATCGTCAGACCGGCGCAGCACCGGGGAACAAGGTGCGGGGCGGACGGGTGCTAGCGAGGCTGCCGAGGTGCAGAGCGCACCGAGGCAGGAGCCACCAGTTTTCGCCGGTGCAGGCTCTGCGGTCGAACCCAATCTTGATCCCAGGAGGGTGAGACGGTAATTTCGAATTGGATTGAAGCCCGGCTCTTTTGGTTTTCTCTGGAAAATGGGGAGTTAATGTTTGATTTGTTTGAAGGGTTGAGTCTCCTTTTTCATTTTCTTCAGTATTTTGGCAAATAGACAATCGGCTCAGAGGTCCCGGATAAGGAAGCTCCAGTACATATCGGACCTGGAGAGGACCGTCGCTTCATTGCAGGTTCGTTCGAGTTGTACGGCCTCACCTCGGTCTCTCTTCACCTAGTATAACAAAACATTCCACATCATTAATACTGTTGATATGGAAAATTATTTAATTCCATGCCATTAGTATTACTGTTATGAAAAAAATATTCCATTTTATGCCGTTTAATATTGTTTTTATGAAAAATTATTGGGAAATTATAAAAACATTCGTTGGGCTATTAAAAAAAAAAAACCCATAACCTCATTTGTATCCCTTTTCTTCATTGTTTCGAATTTTGTGACCCAAATACCCTATAGCACGGTTCGTGATTCTTTAATGAAGATGGACAACTTAGAAAGCATCACAGTATTAACACAACTGTGATGCCTCTTAGGGATGGATCTTCACAGTTCTAAGTGAACTGTTTGAGGCACCACGGTCCTAGCACAACCGAGATGCCTCTTATGTGGGGGGATGTTTCGTATCATCAAGACCTTAGAGGTTAGAATTATGGTTCATATAGAGAGCATAATAGTACTAGCACAACTGTGATGCGTGTTATGCTTCACAGTTCTAACTCAATCATGATTATTAAGTGCAAGCTTCGCAGTACTAGCACAATCGTGACACTCCATCAAGGCCCAAACACTACCATGGCTTTAGTTCATTTAGTACATCATGGACCAAATATTACTGTGAAGGATAATTTAATCATAAAATTGCAAACAATGATAAAAAAAAAAGGCTATGAATAAAATTTTAAAAGATATAGGGATTTTCCCAAATAACCTAAAACAGAAAGGAAATTTTTTTATAATTTCTCAAAATTATTCTATTAAACTTTTTCGCTTCTAGCCTCGCCTCGTTACGCGTGTTCAGGGACAATCATGGAAATAGCCACCCAATAAATGTTGGTAACTAGCCCATCTTAATCTTTTAATTTTGGTGTTAGTAGAATGTGTTTTTCTTTTTCCTCTTATCACTATTTTCCAATACGAAATATTTGAAAAGGACTCACCAAATTTTAGATATCATAGATTGGAAACATTCAACAAAAACAAATATCATAGATTAGAAATGTCAAAGAATAAGTTTTTGTTTTGGTGTTTGGGTAGATCACCCTACCCGTTTTACAAATACTTAGTAATTTTTCGAATGTGTTGGTTCCATCACTTCCGATAGAGACACCCGGGGTAACTTTTTGAAGACTTTATTTATGTAAGATCATGAAAAGCATGTGCCACATGGAACAGGACCATTCACATCCCGCCTTTCTTCTAACCAATAATTTTATTTTTGAAGGAAACTGACCTCTAACCTTCTCTTAAGTTTTCATTCCTATTAGCTTTCTGGGTTAATCAAAATCTTTTGCGTTTTAAACTTTTGGGACCATCAGCTCCTTAATTATATATATTGTTTTTGTTTTTTTACAAATTTGAATTCTTTGTTTTACATCCTTTTTTTCGTTTTTTTTTTACTTGATATATAAATTTTATTGATGATAATAATTTATATTTATTATAATTAATTAATAATTATAATAATAGCAATAATAATATATTATATTGTTAAATATTTCATCTCTTATAAGTATTTTGATAAAGTTTTTTAATAAATAATAATAACCATTAACAATGGTAACAAATATCTTGATTAATCACTTTTCAAGTTCAAATGATATTGATATAATTGTAAAACAGGTCATAATGTTAAAGAAAAATTCTTTTTTTTTTTCATGTCTAAATTTATAGAGTGGGATCATCGAGGTAAGATTGGTTTTAGGTGACGGAAGAGAAAGGGAAGGGAAAATTTTGTAAAAAAAAACAATTAGGGGCCTAATAATCTCAAAATTTTAAATTTGAAGGGGTAAAGGGATTTTTGTGAACCCAAAGGGAACTAATAGGGATGGAAGTTTCAGGTAGGGGGATAAATGTCATTTTCCTTATTTGTTTTAAACTCAGCCGTGGCTTCACGACCTGGCTGAAACTGAGTAATTTTGTCGAAAGAGGCTTAAAAAAAAATAACAAAAAAAAAAATTTGTTTCAAAATAATGTTAAAAATTTTAAAAGTAAAATGAAAACAAAAACATGAATTGTCCAAATAAGCTGAAAAATTAGAAATTTTGATTTACGGTTGGTGTTGGAGACATTTAAAAAAAAATTGAAAATACAAAATATAGCACATAACAAGGAAAACTCACAACTTATTATAAAAAATCCAAATTAAATAGATGATCCCCAAAATTTATATAAGTTTTATTGGAAAATGATTTGATAGGGCTGCAGCCCTATCAAAATAAGTAAAGCCCCACCTCAAAACTCATAAAAAAAAAAATACAATTTAAGTACTGGAAAATGTTCACATCTATCATCTAGGCTTGTACATAATGGTTGCGAAAAAAAAATAGGATCTCTAGCTCTAAAAATAGTGTATATTATAACAAATTATCTAGACCATTCATTTCTTCTTAAAAATTAACGTTCTACAAGCTTTGTATATTTTTTTTAGTCTCAAATTGTATGGTTAATGTTGAAAATTGATTTTAAAGCTATCATAAAGATTTCCGCTGAGACTTTATTTTGTTTACATAAAGCGTAAAGCCTTACCAAAAAGAAAAGTGGAGAAAGGACCCTACCCTTTGTAGGAATTGAGGGTAAGAGCTAGTGTTGCTAGAGTTGTTTTAATGGATTTCTTGTTTAACGAACTTGTAAGTAGACGGAGGTGTCGACTCTCTCTCCGCGCGTGGCTTACCTTGATCACCAGCGGTTCGTTCTTAACGTGGATAACAGTGCTCTCAAGCAAAGAATCGCAGCACTAGCTCAGGATAAGCTCTTTAAGGATGGTAACCTCTTTTTCTTGTTTTTCCTCTTCTTTTTCTTTCCCTTTCCCTTTCCCTTTCCCTTTACCTGTGATTGCTGAACCCATCGAGTTTAACATTCATTAACCCCCCCTTATGCTTTGATAAAAATGAGAGGCTAGGGGTTGGCAATGAGCCTGGCTTGACCCCAACCCGGCTTTACGGCTGGCCTGTCCCAGTCCTGATCAGGTTAAAATGGCCTTGCCAGGCCGATAGAAAAAAAACAACGTACGATAGGGACTGCATTTTTACGATTGCGGTCCCTAATGTACAAAGCATCTATAAAATAGGTAGTCTATCTAAAAACAATTGAAACTAACTCTTTAAATTTTTTCTTAACATAATTATTATTTATTTATTTATACATACTGTAAACGATTAAAACTAACTCTTCAAAAAAAAAAATTAACATAATTATTATTTATTTATTTATTCACACTGTAAATGTAAACCATTGAAAGTGACTCTTCAAATTTTTTCTTACCATTATTATTATTTATTTATTTATTCAAACTGTACTGATACAAACCGTGAGAGTGAGCCTTGGGCCAGGTGCATGTGTTATAGGGTCAGGCCATTGATTTGACGGGTTTAGTGTTCGGACAGCTCACCAAGTGGCTTTAAAGAATGAGGTGGAGAGACTGAGGCAGGTATACGATCATCAGCAACATGAAAAGATGCAGAGTTGCTGCACTGACATCGAGCTGCTTAGCTGACAAAGGCCCATGCTGTCCCACGGGCCCACCTCCTCTCACTCTCTCTTGATGCAGGGATGGTGGACTCGAAAAGGGTCCGACCCATTTCATTCCTTTTTCTTTATGTATTTTATTGTTCATTTATTATTTGTATAATGGGATGCTCTCCCTCTCTCTTCGCTTGCAAACGCAGGTTCTTCAATGTACAGTAAGTTCGCAGCCGCATCTTCTTGGAATGGAATTCCGGTACTTCCTTTGATAATGGAAAGTGCCATTCTATTCTTCCATAATCGTGTGATAGGGCAGCTTCCATGCCTTAGAGGTATTATTGGCAGGAGGTTTTATGTGGATATTATTGGTAATAATGGGACTCTTTGGTAGATTAAATTAAAGATATTTCTTATCATGAAATAGATTTTTATTGATATTGATAAATATGAATTCAAATTATACAGAATTTTATTGATATTAATAAATATGAATTCAAATTATACAAAATAAAAGGCATAAATATGTTAAAAGGTGCGCAAAAATGGACACAGTTTATATGAGTTCATGTAGAAATGAGTCACCTCTTACAAATCATTTTTGAGATGGATTTTTTTTACTTAATTTTTAAGGATATGTAATATCTAACATGGAAATCATGAATATGAAAAATAAATAAATTTTAAAAATTAGAAATAGTATTTCTATTAAGAAAACATTTGGACAGTTAGTTTCAATTGTTTTTAGATAGACCACCGATTTTCATTCATCTTTAATATAGATGCTTTATACCTTGAGGACTGTAAATGTAGAAATGCGGTTCCGGTTGTATGAAACAATTTTTCTTAACCTAAACATCCATTATCAATTGCAAATCGCTCCTGATTTGCCTTACTAATATCTTTAGGGCTGTTTTTTTGGTATAGGAATATTTTAAGAAAATCTAAATTGCTAATTTTATTTTCCAATTATATATATGTTATTAGTGGGAAAGATTTTCATTGTGATAATAACGTGATGCCTTCAAATATCATGATAAATTCATTTTATTGGGGGATATTATTGGAATTATTATGGGCAAGATCTTAATTATTGGAGATTGAGTAAAGAGTCCGATTTTGTGAAAATATCTTGGGTGGATGATTTCAAGACTCAGAGAGATGGTATAATCTCTCAAAATTGTTTTTATTTTTTTTTTTTTTTGACAACATCAAAATTGTTTTTGTTTTATTTTTATTTCTTTGTTTTTGTTTTTGTTTTATTTTTATTTTTCTTGCATCCAAATAAAATAATAACAAAGAAAATAAAAATAATTTTGAGAGATTAAACCCCATCTCTTCGTTTGCAAAATAGTCCACCTCCAAAATGTTTTCACAAGATCAAAACTATTTACTTAATCACCAATAACCTCTACAACTAAAAAAAGACAAAAATAACCCTAAAGCAAACTAAAAACCCAACCTAAATCTAAAAATCTAAAAATGACAAAATTAAAAGATAAAAATTTAAAAAAAAAAAACCTATTGCGTCATAGACAATGAATTGTTTTTTCACTTTCCTGTTGTTTCTACAAAATTCATGCTCTTCCATACACTGCTTCACTTTCAAAATTTTGTGCTAACATGCTAGTGGTTACTCATGTAAATCACACAAAGTATGTTTGATGTCCACTTTCTATATTTTCCTATTTGATATACTTTAATACGGAATTCTATTAGTAAGAATATGTATTTGTTTGTGTCCTTGTTTTCATTTTGGTCCTTTTTTTTTTTGCTAATGGAAAATATTGTCTTATTTGCTCGTTTAATTGTCTCGAGGAGTTTTATCAAGGTCCAGGTTTCCCCTTTTTGTTCTTGCGTCCAAGATTTAATAGGTAATCAGGTGCTAAGTTATGTTAAATTACTTCGGCTATGGATCTAGCCCAAAATAACACAATGCATGGATCTAGCTCAAAAAAATGTTTTTTAGGGACGCAGGTATACTCAGATTGGCATCAAGGATTCTAGCCTGAAATACCACAGTGGCGTAGATCTAGCTCAAAAAAAAAGTTATTTAGGGACATAGATACAGTCAGATCGGCACCAAGGATTCTGAGGTGTACATGGATCAATTCAGTGAATGGTCAAGACAATTCAATGAGTACATCAACACGATGAAGTGCGAGGACAACACTATCGTTCATTTTGGTATTATGTTGTATTTTAGTTGTTGTATGCTCTATTTTGGACTATATATTCATATCCATGATATCAAGGTCTAGGTTCACCTTTTTTTTCTTGATTCCAATATTTAATAGGTAATCAAGTTGCTAAGTTATGTTAAATTACTTACGTTTATTTATCTAGCCCGAAATAACACAATGGCAAGGATCTAGCTCAAAAAAAATTTATTTATTTAGGTTGAATAGAGATATGAAAGTGGTGCACAAATGGTAGAGACTAGAGATTTGAAAGAGCTGCACTTGTGTCACCATGATATCAAATATAGAATAAGCATGATAATCTAAGTTCAAGATGAAAACAAAGGCTAACATACTAAAGAAAAAATTGGCTACCTCCGAAGGGGAAAAGAAAAAATGAAATGATTTTTGCTGGCGGGTGCGATGGTGTCATTGGGTAGTTCTACCTACTCCTCTGTTTGGATTATGTTGTCTGATTAAGGAAAGGTGAATATTAAAAATGAGTTTTTTGTCACTGGGTCGTTTTCACCTTCTATTTCGGATTTCTTTGGCCTCTCTGACTAGGCTAAGAGAGGATGGAATCTGTCGCACTCTCCTGATGTGAAGATTATATGTGAGAACAAAGTAGTTTTTAAACTTCGGTCTAAGGATGAAGTCGGTAGAGCTCTCCGTAGTCGTTTCTGTAGGTTACGCAGGTGCCTTCTCTCTTTAGATTTATGGAAGCCTTCCGATCATAGTTCCCTCATTCAGAGGAAACTTCTTTAGTTAGGCCTTAATGGTATTCCTCTGCATGCCTGGAACTTGACCATTTTTTAAAAGATTGCAGATGTTTTGGGAGTTTATGTGGATATAATTTGGGACTCATTTTTTTATCATAGACTCAATAGTTGTTGGTTCTCCTATACCTGGAAAAGTTCGTCTTTTTGTGGGAGAGGACACCTTCGAGATTGGAGTTGATAAAGATGGTGGCAAATAGGGAGTTCAAGCTAAACCTGTCTCCTTACAGCCTTTGAACTTGGATCAGGGTAGGGGAAAGTCTCTATTACCGGAAAGTGGGAGGTCACCGGAGACTACATACCGGAAAAATAATGTTACTAAGAAACAGTCTAGGCGTAAGTTATACAATTTTGAATTCAAAAATCAAGTAACTCCTAAATTTTCAAAAAAGTGGATTGCGGTGGGTAGGTTTCAGGATCAAACGGAGGGTTTTACATACGATTTTGGTAACCACCAAATTGTGGCTGATTCTATTAAAGGAATTACTAAGATAGTCATGGAAAAGGAATGCAACAAGGTTTTTTTTGGAACCTTCCTCGAATGGGATTAGTGATGACCCCTCATGCAGATTTTTGGGTGGTCCTTCAGAAGGTATTTGTGATCATGAGGATCCATCATACTTTTTTGAGCCTGGATGTGGCCTTAGTCCTAAGAAGACGGCGGATGACAGGCACTTGATATCCTCGGAAGGGGAAAGTCTTCCACCATGTCAGCTAAAACTGGGTGGGGAAGGTACCAAAGTACATGTGGCCTTTATTCGGCTCAAGATCTTCGATAAAGGCATTCAACCTCAAGCTCTTAAGGTTAATCTTCCTACTCCGGCCCTTTCTTTGGTTTTCCTCCTTGTTCATCACAAACCAGTCGGCCAGGCATGGTGCCTTTTCCTCTTCTATTGTATCATTTGCTCCAAAATGCATCCCCTTCTTTTCCGCCTTGGTGCTGCCAAAAAGAGCTGGTCTCACTTCGACCCCCTGCTTGTTGATCCCCTCGCCATTATGGTGATTGAGCTGGAGGAGCCTATGATGCTACTAGAAAATGCACATGTTGAGCCTGCGATTGGGGAGGAAGTGGGCCAACGTTTGCTACCGATGGCACCCATATAGGAGTTTGCTGCTTCTCAAATGCAATTAGTAATCTCTCCTGAGGTTACGATTGTAAACACCGCAGACATTGAACAACCCTTACCCGACCTAGATTCTAAGGATGATGCACCACTAGTGAGAAAGATGTTGGTTGATATGGGAATGGACGATGCTCCACTTGCTGTTGGGATGGGTGCTATTAGGAAGAATTGCAAAGCAAAGGCCGTGACTGCTAAAGAGAAGCAGCCTATGGATGCCGAGTAAGGGACGAAGGCTGTTGAGCATTTTCCATTAGCTGATGGAGACTCTAGGAAGGCAGATAATAAAACACCGATTGGTAAAATGAAGAATTCAGGCAAGAAGAAGAAGGTGTTCCATCGGGGTGTTCACTCTTTTGCGAGATTGGAGGCACGTGGAGTACCTAAAGGTGGATATGCAGCTTCTGCCCTTGCTTTTCGTGATCCAAAGGTGGTAGCGATCAACTCTGATTCCTCGTCCGCGTCTTCGACTGATGAAGAGGCTATTGAGTCGATGATGCTTGAAGATGCCTACTTCGGTGGTGGTCCTTGTGGACCAGGTTCTTCTTCCTCTTCTTTTCCTTTTTAATGAATATTCTGTCTCGAAACGTGATGTGTGGACCAAGTTCTTCTTCCTCTTCTTCTCCTTTTTAATGAATATTCTGTCTTGGAGCGTGAGGGGTTTGGGTAACCCTAGGAGAAAGAGCCATTAAGTTTAAACCTTTTATTTTGGCTTTACATAAAACCAAACTTCCTAGCCCTACTCTTGCAAGGGTGAGGGAAGATTGGAGCTAAGGGGCAATTTCTTTTGTTGGCATTGATGCAGTGGGTAGTTCGAGGGGGCTCTGGATTCTTTGAGATCCTACAGTCCTTTCTTCCTTTGAGACTATTGTCAGAGACAACTTATTGTTGTTGGGGTTTAGGGGTCCTAATATGGGGTTTTCTTGGGGCTTTATGAATGTCTATGGACCAAATGTTTCCTCCTTGAAAGATGATCTTATTTATGATATGCATAGTATTGTTCAATCTGTGCTGTATCCTATCATTATTGGGGGGGATTTTAACCTTTTTAGGTGGCCCGATGAATGTTTAGAGGGCCACCCAATAAATTTGTTTATGAGAAAGTTTAACAATTTCATTGAAGACAATGCCTTTTTCGATCTACCTATTATTGGTGTTAAGTTTACATGGTCCAATAATAATGTACGTAAGGTTGCCATGTCCAAATTGGACAGATTTTTAGTGGCTACAGATTGGTTGGAAGCTTTCCCACTTGCCTCTGTGAAGTCTTTGATGCGGCTCTCCTTTGACCATGTTTCC